GTACTGACAGAAAAATTAAGAGTCTTAAACCGTACCTAAAATATTTAACCTTGGTGACTGATTTTTGAAGCCATTTTTAAAGTCAGTCAATAAAGAAATATATGTAATAAAGACAATTGAACGCCTTTAAGCTTAGTATTGGTAATAAAGACTCCCGCGATATACGTGAAACTTTCAAGACACTAAAAGGTCGTATGACTGATCTGACCTATTTATTCAGTCTTTTTTTAAGTAATCAAACATTGGTTTCCATGATCCACATTTGGATTTAATTTTTGCCTCGACTTTAAAAAATGCCAAGGCTCACCGATGAATGCAGTGGCGTAGTCTCTTTTAACTAAACGTGATCCATAAACAGATTAGATACCAGAATTAATGATACTAATTGGCGTATGATTAATGATATTAAACAATTCAAATGTTAGATCTGCCAAGAAAAGCTTCACTGTTTGATATATTGGACTGAACACAAGTATGAGGGACAAAAGTGACATTTCTGTTTGTTAAGAGGCTGAGCTACATTTACAAATGTGTCACTGATAAACAATAAGCTAACAATAGCCATTTTAAGATATCGAACAGTAATCAAGGTAAACTGGACAAAACAAGAACAAATTATTAGTAAGGAAACTCCAAAATTTTGGATGAATCAAATGATTACTTTTTAGGGAATATTGCGGTTGATATGTAAAAGATGAGACGTCTGACATCAATTTTATCGGTAAGAACACTTTTTTTGAGACTCTTTACAAGTGTAATATAAATATTCAACGAATTATGTTAAACCGAAGTTCAAATTATCATTTTATTTACGTACCAATTTAAGCGAACTGCAAAATGTGTTTATATTTTGTCGATTCGGTTAAGATTTTCAGGTTTTGTCGCTGTTGTCATTAACCTGACTTGCGTTAATATTATTATTGTCAGTATTAAAAAAGCTAGGAGTTCCTATACATATCTCCCGTCCATTCAAGTGCTTTCTGTAAATCTTCTGTGAATATTCGATTTCCGTCTCTTGGAATCCCAAGGCGATTTCCAAAATTTAATTCTAGCTTTGTACTCACCAAATTTGGAAGCATAAAATTACAGTAAGTTTCTATCTACGGGACACGGTAATATAGTTTACCCGTGAAAACACTTTCACAGATATTTCAGTAATTGTTAGTTTGAATTTACAAAGAGATTTTCAAACTCAATATTTTTGTGGCTAAGCACTATCAAAACATAGCTTCCACGCCATGAATAACCTGGACGATTTAAAATAGCCAGCCTTATTGGCGGCCAATCGCCAAAACTAAGTTTATTGAAATTTTCTGAAAATTTCGGTATGTTATCTGTAAGCGTTCAATAAAGAGCGGCTTCAATTTAGGGTGTAAATTTTCGAAGAAAATACAGAGATTGTTCTTTGTGATAAAGATCTTAAAACTGATACGCTATAGTGAATAGCTACCGTGAATAAGCGAAAAAGAAATCCCAAATCCAGATCTGATATGTAATCGACTCCTTGCTTTGGAATCATCTCATCTTACATGTATTTGAAGGATGCATCTCCATATCTAGTGGATAATCCTTTCCATGCTTTGTTTTCTAGATACATGTATGACCATGGACAGTACTGAGAAATTTACGACTTAGGCTAAATTGGAGACTTTGGAAACATCGAGGACTAGTCGGGGCCAAGTAGAGAATCACCGCAACGGTATCGAGTTAGAGCGTTTATTCAAACGTGAGTTATAAAATAGTTTTAATAGGATAAACTATGACTAGCACAACCAACAGTATTGCTAATCAAAAGGTTATAACGGTGGTCAAAAATGATTAATTCGAAATAATCAACTTACAGAAACTGAAATCTACAACACCTGGTCAACGAGACCTAAAAACAATAATACTGACCACAGCGACACATCAGCTTCGTACTCAAAAGCTGGTAACGATTTGAAACTGAGCACAGTTTATGCATTTTTACAGCTTCACATGCTTGTTAAACAATCGAGCTGCAATTGGAACCATAAGTACTTCATAGATTAAAGATTTAACGCTTACTTAACGCTTATATTTTCAAAACAAAAAAGGTTCCTGAAACATAACTCTCTTCAAGAAAATCAGGCAATTAGTTTTTGCGCACGAATTCGAAGCACGAACTGCTACACGCCACAGTTGATGAATGATCGAGCAACTGTGTAAGATCTCTAAAGTTAACTGTTTACACTGAGATCATTTACTGGTTGGAATTGGAATTGAGCAGAATAGCGGGACAAAACCACTAAGATGGGAAGAGGGTTGGAAATTATAAGGATAATAATAGGCACCACTCTTTCAATGCGAGTTCAGTTTAATTTAGGGAATAATTTACCAGTTTAGGTTATATAATCTTGAGATTTCACAGTTCTTTTAATTATACAATGGTGTCCCTGGTTATATAAAAATAACATCAATTTAATTTTAGTAAAAGTTGTGATATGTTGATTACAATGATTTAGTAGAACTCCAGCAACAAATGTTATGATATCAAAGAGGCCTTTCATTAGGCACATCGATTACTTAGCAACCTAATATTTCCGGAAGCGGAATTGAAATTGTTTAACAGAAATTAGAATACACAAGAACATGAAGGCTGTTTCGTGAGCATGTTTCGACGACAAACTTTTTCAAACAAGGAAATTCTGTGATTGACTCACTAGCAGAGTGTTGGTATGTACTAAATCTTCTTTTAATCTCACTTTACTGAAATTATGCTTATTAATACAGAGTTTTATGTTATTTCTTCTTTCTTCTGGTTTCTTTTATTCAGACAGATCACTAGTTGAGGAATGAAAACATGGTAAACAACTGAGGTAAATCATATTTGAGCTGTACGTGCTCTTATCTCCTTACGCCCATAGAGTAATGTCTGTTGTTTCCCAAACATTCTCTAATACACAGATCAGAGACGAGTAGAAATGACTCTTCAATACACAGGTATATTGTCAATAAGCACTAGCAATCATTTACCACGTTAAAAAAAAGAAAGGATTTTCAGTGTCCAATGATCAGTATAAAACTTGATTCATGTTTATCTTCTTTACCGAACAATAGTTAAAGTACGACTCAGAAATGTCTTAATTGGATATACTGCCGGTTGTGTTAACTTAATAATAATAATAATAATAATAATAATAATAATAATAATAAACTTTCTTTCTATAGCGTCTATATCACTAGCTGTTCTAGGCGCTTTACAATATTACAAAAAAATATTGAGATACAAATAAATTACAACGATAGGAAAAAAAATGGTAGTAATAATGATATCAAAAATAAGAAATAACTGTCCAAGTGCATAAATATATCTATAACTCAGAAAATCTAACAACTACGTATATAAGTATGAAAATTAAATAAAAAATCTACTTACTAATTAAGAAAAGTCATGGTGCAATATATGTCTTTAAGTGTTTTTTTGAAGGAAATTCAAGGAACTGGCATTTCTCAAAGATGCTGGTATGCTGTTCCATAATTTAGGTCCTGCAATAGAAAATCTCCGATCACCATAAGGTTTGGATTAGATCTAGAAACTTGAAGTAACCTATTCGAGCAAGAACGCCAAGCGTAGGAGCTGTTACAAAAACTGAGCAAATTGGATAATTATATAACTTGGTGAAATCCATTGATAGCCTTATATACTAACAATAAGATTTTATATATAATACGGTATTCAAATACTTCTTGGTGGATGTACGAGTGATACGCGCTGCTCTATTCTGAACTAGCTGTAGGCGGTTTAAGCTGAGAACTTTAGACAGTCCATAAAGAAGATATAGCATTGCATTACGGTAATTCACTTAGGTAGTCACGAAAGCAAGAATAATTGCTGCGGTAGATTCACTATCCAAATATTATGTTCTTATCTTACTAATGTCAGTTAAATGGAAACGACATATCTTGCATATCTTTTTAATTTAATGTCTTCCATATCAGCACTGGGATCGAGTATCACTCCAAGATTACGAACAGAAGTGGACGGTTGAATCGTTTCACCCCCAACACAAACAAATTACAATGAAGGACTGGGATGATAACGTGAACTGAATAGAAGCAGCAGACCATGAAGAATCATCCAATTGTTGATTTCCTGTTCACATATTTCAATGCTAGACTTTGCTGAGGAGAGAAGATCTGTGCTTTATTTGAATTTTGAGCAATATAGTTTAGAAAATCAAATCCTAATTTAAACCACGACAGCGTTTGGATTATACTAAAGACTCAGTCCTGCAAACTGTCTTCAAAATAACTTTTTTCTCACTGCACAAAAAGGTGATGCGCTGACAGCCATCCTCATAAAGCTACAACACCGCATAAAAAGATTGCCGGGTAGTGTAAGGACAACTGTTAGCTATATTAAGGGATAGATCCTACACGTAATAGAATTATAATAAATATAAAAAATGGTGTTGTGGCTGGTAGACTCTTGACATGGAACCGAATAGCATGATCTGCACAAGAACTCAGTGAGTGAAAAACACAAAACACGAATTTCTTCATGGTAAGGCAAAAGAACCAATCAAAATACTCAGCGTCCTTTACGCACGAAACGTAATTGAAGCCCTATTTCTTTGAAACTCGTTTAAAAACATGAAAAGTTTTAATAAGTAATTATTGCAAGAGAGATAAATTAACCGGTCGCGATCATCACTGCCATCAGTTTGGCTTTGACAATCCTAAAGCGAAGGTAAGTTAACTTCTAAACACGCTGTAAATAACGCTAAACGACCTAAAATTTGTCATGAAAAGAGCCGTTTCTTTTATTCTAAAAATATAGTCTTGGAGATTCCATCGCATTCAAGCCGTTCATTTTTTTTCGAGGCATATCTTAAATACGGACTGAAACTAGTGTTAACCATATTTATTGGGCTTCCATTTAAAATAATCCAAAATACTTCATATATCATAATCCAACTTTTAGTGCACAATCAAGTTAGAGGACGTTGAAGATGAAATCACAAGTTGAACTGTCCACCATGTTATTTGTACTGATTTTATCGCTCATGGCCGCTTTCTGCTCTGCTAAGGACAAAAAACCACCAGACACCAAGGTAACTGCATTTATACTCATGGCCACTGCAAATTGATGTGATTACTGTTAAATAATGTTAGTACGTTAGGGAAAAAATAGGAATAAATATATTCAAACACAAACTAAAGGTCGTATGACTACTTGTAAAACCTCCGAAAAAATCGATCAATATTTTGAAAAGAGAGAAATTATTTCACGTTTAAAACAATTAAAAGTAACCTCGTTACTAACGTGGAAGAATGTATATCCTCTTTGGTGAAAAAATGAATTTCTTTTATCACAATTAACTATTTCATGAAAGAAATGCAACTTCAAACTTGCAACATCAAGGAACTATTTACTCATTTTGATTGAAACGTTAAATGACAGATAAAATTGTCAAGAGCTAAAGGCATTTTGTCACTGACTTTTCTCTTTTTGACAGCCTGTTTCATCTTGTCCAACTTGTAATGGCGGACAAACCGGGATGTGGACATACATGACATGCGTCCCAGGAGCCCCTGGGGCACCTGGCCGAGATGGAGCCAAAGGAGACCTGGGCAGCCCGGGAAAAGCTGGGACCCAAGGACCACGTGGTGCTGATGGAAAGAAAGGAGCAAAGGGAGAGCCTGGGATTCAGGGGTCCGCCGGACAAAAAGGACAGCGAGGGGACAAAGGTGACCGTGGAACGCCACGACGGGCTTCACACATGAACTGGAAGGAGTGCACTTGGAAAAAGGACGACCACAAAGATTCAGGATTGATATATGTAAGCAAGCAATATGCCTGTTTAATAAGAAAAACAATACCGTTGATAAATTTCTCAAAACGAAGAATTCATCAATATAATTGACTGTCATGGTGTCACAGATGCCATGATTTTAAATATTTTCTTTCTTTCCTACTTTCTTGTCTTTTTTGTTGTTGTTCAGAACTGTGATTTTGTGAAGAAATACCCGGACACTTCCCTTCATGTCTACTATGATGGTAATATCGGGATTTACAACTGCGCCGGATGCTGTAGTCGCTGGTATTTCAGCTTTAATGGAGCCGAGTGCAGCTCTCCAGGAACTATTGACGGTGCATTCTACATGCGAACAAGTACAAACCACAATCTTCACCGTCACCGCCACATTGAAGGTCACTGCAATAACATTCAAAAAGGAAAGGTGCGATTGGGATTCTGGGTTGGAAAGTGCGTTACAGGCCATAAGCTTGCTGACGCCTATACTGGTTGGCATTCAAGGAATCGTATCTTCATTGAGGAAGTACCAAAAGCTCAGCAGTAAGAAGGAGTCATGTGATCATCTGGACTTTGAAACAAAGACGTTAGACTTGTGTTATGATGTAATGAGGTTTCTAAAGCAACTGTTGTTTTCGAGTCTGTTTCAGCTAAAGAATAAAGTCCAGAAAAATCCTCTATTATTTTGGTTCATACTTGCCTCATCCATTTTCCCATTGAGTGTTAACAAAACCGTGCCTTTCGTGGGATTAGAAACTGCCTTTTTCTTCAACTCCCCTAATGCGTCCACCTGGTCTTTATTCCATTACGTCACCACCAGAATTTTATCGGGTCAATTGCAGTGAGGTGATATTAAAACTAAGTATCATCTTTTGTCATACCAGGGGGGAAGGGGTGTCTCCAAGGAAATCTGTGGTACAGTCCGCCTGCCAGTATGGCGTAACGTCTCGCGTCAGCGACTTTCAAACTGGCGAGCAAAGTATTCATCGAAGAGACGGATAAAACTTTCGATTTTATCGCGGAAATACTGTTCCGATTTCTTGAATTTGGAGATTTTAAGATTTCTATTGTCAAAGAAAACTCGACTTAAGTACTTTTTTGAAATGAAATGTCCAGTGGTGTAACGAATTTTAAAGATTCCTTTCTATCGTCAAGCAAATTTTACGGGCAATAATACCGACCGATCACACTTTTGAGGGCCACTTCACAGCAAGATTGAGGAGTTTAGAAAAAGCAATTCGAGGATGTATTATACTTTACATTGTGCGTATTTTCAGCTCTTTAGCGGTGGTAGAACCCCATATCATTCCTCTCAAAGTTTGCTTAGATATAGCGTTGATAGAGTAAGCTAAATGACAGGTATTTGTGAGAGACTGTGAGCATTGGAACTTGTTGCTTTACCGCATTTTAATACAGTTTTGGGCATACACCTGTAATTCTGTAATTATATCCCGAAAACCAATAAAAGGTTTCGTTAATTATTCTTTGGGGGCAAACCCAGTGGAGATTTTAGGGTAATAATATTGACGATTAAGACGATGTACAAAGGCAAGTTTAACTTTCGCCAATGGGCCACTGCTGGGTGTTGGGTGTAAATTAGTACATCAGTTTGTGGTGTACTGTTTGTTGTTTGTCATGATGTTAACTAAAACTGAAAAAAATTCAGCTATTTCAGAGGAGGGACATGTCTTGACAGTTTTTGGTTTTTCTCTGGTCATAAGCTTGCAAGCAACTCTTGACCACTGCACCTCAGTGACACACATGATTTGAAAATTAATTTTGTCATATCAAAACAATTTTTCTCTGCCATAGACGTTGTTTAAAGCTGGTGGAGCTGTATTTATCATGAATTCAAATATACATTTGAGGAAAATTAGCTTAACCGCGTATTTCAAAGCTATTTCACATTATTTCGGGTTCAACGGGCCGACTCGATGTAGATAATTGATCGAACTAGCTTTACTGAATTTGGTGGAGAATTTGGAGATCAACAGAGGCTCACACTCGAAAGGAATAATATGAATTTAGGCCCGTTTAATTAGCCAAAGAATAGATGAAATATAAACATGTGTGATCTATGAATTGAACCTCCTATTCTGGAGCCTAAGCTAGACTAAACCTTGCCTATGTTAGAGAAAAAAAAGATTTAAGTTTTGATGACCTTGCCGGTCCCGTGAAATAGATGGCGATCACGGATGCAAAATATCAAAACGGTTTACACAAGCAGATTATAGCAACACCAAAGCTCACAAACATACGATCAAATAAGCGATATAAAGCGATATTTGCTAGCTTCTTAGCTTTTCCTCGACCTCGCTCGTCCAAATAACTGTCGTATCCCTCGCTAATTTGCACAAGCGACCCGAGGCTCTTGCCCGTTACTATGTGGCGTCATACTGGCAGGCGGAGTGGGTCAAGAAACTTAGGTGAAAAACAATAGAGTTACCTTCTTGCCCCCACCCTTCCTGTCTCATACTTAATTCATTCAGGGGGAAAACAAAGCATAATTGTTTTTTTGTTCCTGTTAATTTTTGGACAGCACAACAATTTAAATAAAGGTATCCACATACTGTTAGTGCCGGCTATGAGCCATTATTTGAGGGATTTCTTAATACACACGTAATGTCAGATCCCGAGGGAAACACTTAGTTTTGTTTTCCCGAGAGTCCTGATGTTTCCCTCTCTAGACTTCGTCTCGGGAAACATCAGGACTCTCGGGAAAACAAAACTAATTGGTTTCCCGAGGGAACGAACATTAAGTGTTTTGTTATATTTCTAGACTTTCACTTCAACAACAACAAATGAATAACCGGAACGAACCAAAACAGTCGACTCGGTACTTATTGGCAACACAAATTTAATTCTTAAAACCAATGAATGAACTTTACAAAGTACTTTCCTTATATTATCTACATCTTTTTTCCTCCACTAGCTGCTGTTTCTCTTCTGGGATGACTTTAAAAATCGTTGGTTTTTAGCTTGGGGCTTCGTGTTTGTGTTCATTTACGAAAAAGAAAACTGGCAGACCGAGTGTTTTTCCCGCCTTCTGTCACACCACTTTCCACCATGCTTTGATCACGTGCTATAATGTAGCCCGAGCGGGGTACATTACTTAATGTATCACGATCGGGATACATTTGATTTTAGCCAAGGCCACGTGACCAAGAATCAACCAATGGCAGTCCCTGTTTAGTTGATTGAAAGTCTAGGAATATAACAATGAATGTTGTTCCTAAAGTCACAAACAATTGTTGCATACACTCCTTGAAATTACTAAAATGCAAAAACCATAAAAAAGGTCAACCCACAAAAAGTTGGATGGCTTTTCTCAAACGACACTCAAATGTGACTAAAGCATATTTCAGGTCTAGAAAATGAAGAAAATACTATTATCCTGGATCGACGCAGTTGTAATAGCAACTGAATTAAAACAATTTCAACTTAACTTTATTAACTGCGACGATCATATCTGCATTTAGGTTTTCGTGCGTCCTCGATTGAAATCATCATCTTTATTTATCAGTATCTAAAAAGGTCCATGACTTTCCAGATGAGCTGCTTAGTAGCGTTGTCATCTATATACTAAATGCATTATTCGCTGCGTTTTGACCTCAACCTTACTATGGCAAAGCAATATTCACTGCATATGTGGGTTTGGGCAGCGCAAACTCTGTATGTGCAGTGTAGATCTGTAACAAGAGCATTAAGAAATAACCTTAAAACAGAAAACAACACAACGGAGAAAGAAAACGTTGATCGTATATCGTACATACTCCTATGCCTGAATCATAACTTTCGCTCATTTGTTGATGTTATCTATTTCGTGCATTGAATTTCAAAAGGAAGTGAGCTGTATTTAAACTATAGATCGTTGTCATATGACGTCACGGCGGCCATGTTGGTGTACAGAAACAATTCCTGTGGGACTGAACTCTTTTCTTATGTAAAACGTTCTTTCGTTCCAAGAAATAGACATAGTTACCAACCACGTGAGCACGATCTATGGAAAGGTAATGTAAGGTATCCATTTATCGTTAAGGCCTGCTGCGAACTATATTTCAGGATTTTTTTTGATGTTCCTAGGGTTTCAAACAATTATGGTATAGCTCCTTGACTGAATAACTAAATTTCAAAAACCATAAGAAAGGGCAGCCCACAAAATGTTGGATCTTTTCAACACTCAAATGTGACTACAGCATGTTTCAAGTCTGAAAAAATTAGTGCTATTATCCTGGCTATATTATCCGAGAACTTACCGGTAATTGACGGCATGATCATCGCAGTTGTGATAACAACTGAATTAAAGCAATTTCAAATTAACTGTCACAACTGCAACGATCACATTTGCATGTAGGTTTTTGTATTTCCGCAATTCCAATCATCATCTTTATTAGTATCCCCATACGGTCATACTATGTACTTTTCTACTGAGTTGCTCAAGAAGGCTACTTAGTAACTGCTCAGTAGCGTTGTCATCTAAATGCATTCTTCGCTACATTTTGAGCTCGCTCCTCAACCTTTTATGGCGAAGCACTATTCATTGTGGAATATGTGGGTTTGGGGAGGCCAAACGCTGTTCGCAAAAACACATAATTATGTCAAACACAAAACAACACAACGGCGAAAGAGAATGTTGATCTTACATCATACATACTCCTATGCCTGAAGCATAATTTTTGCTCATTTGTTCATTTAATTTTTTATCTATTTTGTACAGTAAAGAGGAAGTGAGCTATATTTAAACCATAGGGCGTTTTCATATGACGTCAAGGCGGCCATATTGGTGTACAAAAAAAATTAAAAAGGCGGGCTGTGGGACTGAAGTCTTTTCTCTTGTAAAAAACTTCTTTTGTTCCAAGAAATTTGCATAGCAGCTGACCACGTGAGTGAAAACGATCCAAATGTAAAGCGGATATGAATAACTGGGGCGCTACTTGTTAACTAACTGTTACCTCAACATCATCCCCCCACCCCTTCACCCCCTTACTTCTACGCTGTACAAACACCATTTACAGTCAAGAACGAAACTCTAGTTGGATGAAACAATTTAATGTCTGTGACGTATCCGGGACGAACATACCGCTAGCAACACAGAACCCTGCGCGAATTGGCCACGCTTTCTCATAAGGCCAGAAGACACCTTGCCCTTCATTGGTATCGTTCAAGTCACCACCGTAAAAGGTTTTTAGTCAATTAAAAATTCATACTGAAATGCTTCTCTGTATGATCTGTATGATACTTTCTCATTCCTTAGATGCATTTTCAAAAATGATTAGGTTTATTAATGCTTCCGTTGCTTTCTAGCGGTAAATTTCCTCTTTTTTCTTTTAAACTCAGTCCATCTTGAACACTAATAGTCCTTCAGTTCACAACTGTTAAATCAATTTCCTTAATTTTCAGCGCATTTTTTACTAATATCCACACCATATAGTGAAAGTATAGTGAAAACCAGTGGAAATCAACAAAAGAAGTTCTAGACAGGCGAAATCAAGTAGAGCAAATGATTAATTTGCATTGTTTAAAATAACCCTACGATCAATTCGTCCC